GCGCGGCTCACGTCCAGGAGAGGGTGATGACGTACAGGCAGAGTTTCCCCAAGAAGGGCCTCTCTCCCTCCCGCCGGCCCCTTCCCTAATCTGGAGCCTCCATCTGTCTCCTCTCCCGGAACCAAGCTATAGCATGAGCTCTTCCACCAACACCTAACAAACTCACCAAAAAGTTAGTCAGAAATGCCAAAAGATGCCCAGGCAGCTGTTAGGTATGGAGAGAACACAGATGCTTCATGCCTGTAGTGTCTGCTTCTGCCTCCATCCCTGGAACAGGGCAGGCCGCAACCTGAGCACCTGACCACGTCACGAGACATCATGACAACGTGAGGATTCTCCCCTGCCCCCAGCCTGGAGAGAAGCCCACGGAAGGACTCGTCCGTGGGGGGCGGAAGAGGAGCGCTAGCCGCTGCAGCGTAGACGGGCAAGGCTGACCTGAGGGAAGCAGGCGTGGCCCCAGTGTCCCAGGGAGGTGATCCCAGCGCCTAGCTGGTCCCCACAAGAGTAAGGACATGGCCCTCACAAAGCAGAGTGATGTAAGTCACAACAGAGAATTGAGAGGAATCCATCCATTTACTAGCAGAGTAGACAGAGCTGCTTACGTCAGAACAGGAGTGGGTTGCAGAGAAGCCACGTGCTGACCACACCTGACAGCAGAAAAACCGGGATGGGGGGGGGGGCGTGTGGGCCAATGAAAAACCCAGAACAGAAGAAAACACAGCTGAAGAAACAGAAGACAACTGCACAGGTCAGTTCTAGGGTCTTAATAGGAACATGCTAGATGAGAAAATAGCAGAATGAGGGGAAGATTCCAGAGCCAAGGAAACACACTAAAGATCAAAATCACACCTTCCCTGGAATAAGTCAGAAATACCAAGGGGCAGAATACCAAATTACTAAGAGAGGAAAGGCTTGAGATAATTTCAGGGCCAGACAAAGGGATTAAAACAATAATTTATTCATTCAACTATTATTTGCTAAACACCCCCTTCAAGCCACACACCATTCTAGTAAGGAGACAAAGTCTGCCCTCAGATAGTTTACAATCTAGCAGAGAAGGGAGAGAGAATAAACAAATAATACATAAAGTCATGAGTTTAAGTGCTTTGCAGACAAAATTGGCCAGGCGTGGTGGCGTGTGCCTGCAGTCCCCGCTACCTGGGAGGCTGAGGCAGGAGGATCGCTTGAGCCCAGGAGTTGGAGGTTGCTGTGAGCTATGATGATGCCACGGCACTCTAGCCCAGGCAACAGAGGGAGAGACGGTCTCAAAAGTGCCCTGTGGACAAAATGAGGAGCATAAGGAGACAGGGTGGTAACAGTGAGGGGCACCGTTCGGGAGGTCAGAGGAGGGTTGCAGGAGGCTGAGTAAGAGGCCAGGAGTCCTGTAGGCCGGTGTGGGGCCCGTGGGGACTTTGGCTTTGCCGCTGGAGGGCTCTGAGTGGCCTGAACTGACCTTTGTCAGAAGGCCCCGTGAGGCTGCAGTGAGGGTGAGAGCCGGCAGCGGTGGACGCCAGAAACCCAGCCTCAGGCACAGGCTGCTGCAAGCAGAGGGTCAGGAAAGGATGCAAAGATCTGCTGCAGGAAAGTTCCCCTGGAAAAACGGAGGGCCTGCGTGTCACAGGGCCACACCCCGTCCCCGAGAAGCCCACACAGCATGATTTAGAGAGACCCACCTTGCCTGTTACCGAACTTCAAGGACTTAGGTAGCCATCTCTCAGAAGGAGCGTATCGCATACAAGAAGATCCGCCTGGCCCCTGGTTCCCCAGCAACATTGCGGGCTTGTGGAGTCCTTAGGGAAAGAAAGCACAACCGTCAGAGTCCTCTCCCCAGCAGGTTCTCACGCAAGCGTAGCAGCCTCAGGAAAACATTTTTAAACACACAAGAACCCAAGAAATAAAATTCTTTACAAATTTTAAAACTGACCTTCAGTCCAGCCGACAAAGATGTAAATCCAAACGAAGACCTTGGTCTGAGTACTGGCAGTGAGCTCACCGCACGGCCCGGGTCCGAAGGGGAGTGCGCAGGTCGCAGGGCGGGGGGCGGCCCCGTCCACCTTCCCGTGGCAAAGAGCAGGAGTACTTGCGGGCGTCGGTGCAGGCGCTCCCCAGACCCAGGGCGGTCACTGCTGTCCACGGTGAAGCAGGCTGCTGAGACGACTGATGCCGTCTGTTAATGTTTTTGTGATTTCTAAAAACAGTCGTAGGACAATCTTAAATGTGGGGTGAAGCAGCATTCATCTGATTTCAGCAATAATTTTTTTCTCTCAAATACTTTAAAATTTATAAGGAGTAGCTCTACACTTATTTCTATATTTCCATATGTCTTTTCATCTCTGCATATCCATTTAGAAATATCTGGAATAACTTAACACCGAATGTTAACAGCTGTTAGTTCAGTGATCAGATTGTGGGCGAGTTTTTAAAAACTGCATTCTTTGTTGTATTGCAAGTATTTTTGCAAAGCCAATGAAGTCATTTTTTTAAATGGGGGCCATGCTGGGCACTGTTGGGTGGCACTCAGGAAGGCCACATGCTACATCTCCCCGGTGCCCGGCCAGTCCTCCGTGGCCAAGCTGTGCCCGCCGAGGTCTCTGACCTGCTGGCCCCTTCCTGCTTGAGGTGTCGGAGCTGGCCAGGGTCACAAGCTGGAAAGGGCGCGGGAGGCCTGGGCGAGCCTGCGAGCTGGAGGCTGCCCCCTGCACCCCACTGTCCCTGCTCCACGGGAGCACGTGGGCGCCTGCCCTTCGCAGGGCACCCCTGAGTCCTGGGAGGCCAGCTGCGCTGCAGAGAGCTGGGGAGGGACTCACCTGTGGGGAGGAGAAGCGAAGGCGCGGTTCAGGTGCTTGGCGGTCGTGCTGCGGTGCCCGCTGGCAGTGGAAGCTGGGTTGAGTCCTGCCACACAGAGGCTGTGGGACTCTGGATGGGTCCCCACGGCTGCTCCCAGGGCCCTTCCCACTCCCAAGCCTGCTTCCCCAGCCTCTCCTTGATTTCACGTGCCTCAGCGACCCCCCAGGACGAGCCCAGCCCGTCTGCTGTGCGGATCCCCCCTCGGGTTTTGCAGCTGGGGCACCATGGACATCAGGGCCGGGTCGTTCCGGGCTGGGGTGCTGCCTTGCGCACTGTAGGTCTCGAGCAGCACCCCGGCCTCTACCCACCAGACGACAGCAGCGTCTGGGGGAGGCAGAGTGCTCTCTCCCCGAGGACGTCCTCATCTGAACCCCCGAAACCTGTGAACAAGCTAGGTTGCGTGGCGGAAGGTAACTGGAGTGGCAGACCCGCTGCCCTTAAAACGGGGAGAGCGTCCTGCATTACCTGGGTGGGCCCAGTGTAAGCACAGGGGTCCTTAAACGTGGAAGGGGGAGGCAGCGAAGGAGGTGGGGGTTCAGAAGCAGCGCCAGAGAGGTGCCCGCCACGCAGCCAGGGCATGAGCACGGCTGCTGGATGCTGGAAAAATCAGGGCAAGGGGTTCTGCCCTGGAGCGTCCAGAAGGAGCACAGCTCCGCCAACGCCCCGCAGCCCAGTGAGACCGCCACTCGTACTGCCTCCTGCTGTGAGGCCCCTTCCTCAGCCTAAGTTCTGTGCAGTTTCTCCACCGGGCCAGGTGTTGCTCCTAGGGGGCCATGGACCGGGGCAGGGGACTGCAGCTTTAATGTCAGGCAGCACCTGAGAGCTGCGCAGCTCTGGACACCCCCTGGCAACTGTTTACACTTCAGCCCCCACTCTGTACCAGGAGCACCTGGGGGAGGGAAGACACCTGCAGCTTCCTGCCAGCACAGAGCCAGGCCCAGAGCACCCCATCCCCCACCCATCCCCAGTGGCCTCTGAGGAGGGGGCAGGGTCCTGAGGGCCCCCAGGGCTGCCCTCCACCACCCTCTGGATCCGGAGAAGTGCAGAGGATCCCTAGGGCGGACAAAACTAAGTTCAAGGGACTCCAGAGAGGATTGGGGCAGGGGGGCACCTAGCTGTGTGATCTTGAGGGCTTCCTGGAGGAGGGAGGAACCTCTCCGAGTCTTACAGAAAGGAGGGGAAGGGAGGCAAGAGCGGAGGAGGAGGAGTCAAGTGTGCAGGGGCAGCACGTGGCTGGCAGCGTGGCCAGGTCTGATGGTCAGGTCTGCGCCAGCCACAAGCTCTGGGAGGGAGCCAGGCTGGTGCCAGCGTGCTACTGCGTGCGGAGTCCACAGGGCTGCGCAGACCTGGTCCCTGCCCTCACCCAGGGCTGGGGGGAGATCACTTCATCTTGCCCCAAAGCCCCCCACCAGGCCTCCCCATAGAAGCCCAGCCACGGATCTAACAGTCGCTGAGTCACCCCCCCTCCCCCCCGCAGCAGGCCTGCCTGCCCCCCACCCCCCAGGGCGGGGCCTGTGACTACCCTCCTCCAAAGTGGCCTGCCCAGAACACAGCCCTGCCTGGTCACCCCCAGCTCAGAACCCTCCTGCAGGCTTGAGACGAAGGTAGTCACCACCACAGGCCTGAGGCCAGGGGCACTTCCCCGGCCAGCTCCCCACCGCTGCCCCAGGCCCTCTGCCCACTGCCTTCTTGGCCCTCATCACCAGCCAGTCTCCAGGGCGCCTCCCTCTGTCTGGCACCTCTCTGGACCCCTTGCTCCCGCCACTCCCACCGCCGCACCCCCTGGCTCGTGCATGCCCATCTGGGCCTTCAGAGGCAGGACCCAGTGGGACCCCTCAGTGCCCATGACATGGAAACACCCGAGCCCCTGGGGGCCTCTGGCCTCAGCCCGTAGCTTGGCCTCTAGCGGGCAGGTGCCCAGTGCCCCAGGCTAGCCTTGCCCTGGCTGCACAGGAGCCAAGTCCTGAGCCCGCGCCTGCTTGGACACCGGTGCTCCCCAGTCGGCCCGGGTGGCTGCAGCCCGGAGGGCGAGTCCCCCAGGCCCCTCCAGCAGCCTCCTCAGGCCGGCCTGGGGCAGGGCAGCCCCCCACGCCCCCCGGTCAGGCCTCCAAGGTCTCAGGAGGGGGCAGCTGGCCTGAGAGGGGTCCTAGGCCTGTTTTCTCACTGGTGGGTGGGCCATGAGCCCCCGGCAGGGCACGCAGAGGCCGCGCACCCCCATCCCGCCGGGGAACCCCGAGGAAAGGCACCGGAGGACAGACACTGGGTTGAGTCGGTTCTTAGGAGGGAGGCGACCTCAAAGTCGCCTTGCGCCAGAAGGCTGCGCTCCGGGCCAGGAAGGCGCTGGTGGACTCCGTGGAGCTCGGCGGGTAGAGGAAGAGCAAGTCCTTGTCCACGTCCTCGGACACCAGCTGGGCCTCGATCTGCGCCACGTCCTGCGGGCGATCGCAGGGTGAGGCAGCCGCGGGAGCAGGGAGGGGACGGTCCCAGGTGGGGCTAAAGAGGCCCTGCGCCCGCGCCCCGCTCACCCTGCAGCCGGAGGGGGCCCCGGCGCCCGACCTCTCCTGGCAGCCCAGCAGGGCCAACCGCCGGCGCTCGTCGATGCTGAGGCTCCAGTGGCCGCCCGGGCGCCGGCGCTCGGGCGGCTCGCACACCTGCGGGGACAGGGCGGCGGGTTGCGCGCGGCCACCGGGTCCGCGCCTCTGCCTCCCGGCACCCGCCGTCCCTCTGCGCTCTCCGCAAGCTCCCAGCGGGGCCGCTGGCCATGTGGCCTCAGTGGCTTTGCGCAGTGGCTCTGCGCCTGGACCGCGCCCGCCCGCACCTGCCCGCTTCGCTGCGCGGCCGGCCTGCCCTGCTGCGCGACCCCACAGCGGGCGCCCAGGCGCGGGGCGCACTGGGGGAGGGGGAGGCCAGAGGCTGACAGGCGGGACTCAGGGGTCAAATCCACGCCTCCCTCCTCCCCAAGCCTCCTCTAAAATGATCATAAACAGATTTAGGGAAATAAGTAATGGTTGTTAATCCATTAGGATTAAAAGACCAGGTTCCAGTGCAGGAGCGCCACCAGCAGGGTACAGGGGAATGGGGGGGGCCCAGGAATGGCCAGAACCAGGTGGGGCCAGGATGACCTCCTCCCCGGGGTGGAGCTTCTCAGGCCAGCTGTCTGTGAACGTCCCTCCAGACTCTGCCAGGCCAGAAGCCTCCGGTGCTGCTACCTCCCACCCCAGCGGCAAGGGGCGTCATGCTAAAAACAGGGGGTTAACACAAACTCAAAGTTTAGTCCGACTCCCAAAACAATTACAAACAGAATTATCATGCAATCCCACAATCCCACTTCTGGGATAGACCCAAGAGAACTGAAAGCACCTAAACCAAAGTATCATTCAAGTGGAGAGGCAGAATAAAGACGCTGTCACATCTTTTTTTTTTTTTTTTTGAGACAGAGTCTCACTCTCTTGCCTGGGGCGAGTGCCATGGCGTCAGCCTAGCTCACAGCAACCTCAAACTCCTGGGCTCAAGCGATCCTACTGTCTCAGCCTCCCGAGTAGCTGGGACCACAGGCACGCGCCACCATGCCCGGCTAATTTTTTCTACATATATTTTTAGCTGTCCAATTAATTTCTTTCCATTTTTTGGTAGAGACGGGGTCTCACTCTTGCTCAGGCTGGTCTCGAACTCCTGAGCTCAGAACGATCCGCCCGCCTCGGCCTCCCAGAGAGCTAGGATTACAGGCGTGAGCCACCGCGCCCGGCCTGTCACATCTTTTGAGTCTTGAAAATCTTGAAAACTTTAACATCCTCTGAACCCTTTCAGAGGAAGCCGCTAGATGATGTATCCCACCAAAACAAGGCAGTAAACCAAGAAACAGAACTAGGGCCCAGGAAACGGGATCCTGTGTGCAGAGGGCCGGCGGGAGGGCAGGCAGGGTGGGCCTCGCGGCGGCCGCGTGAGCAGCAGGAGGCTCGGGGCTCCAGGAGGCCACCACCAAGGGAAAAGCAGAGCTCCCAGGTGACCGGACATGTTTAGGCCTGTGAGAGGAAAGTCACAGATTTGTTGGAAAGTTTGGGAAAGAACTAATAATCACAGAAAACAGAAAAGAGGGCCAGGCGAGGTGACTCACGCCTGTAATCCCAGCACTTTGGGAGGCTGAGGCAGACGGCCACTTGAGGTCAGGAGCTCAAGACCAGCGTGGGCAACATAGCAAGGCCCTGTCTCCACAGAAAATACAAAAATCAGCCGGGCGTCGTGGCACGTGCCCATAGTCCCAGCTACTCAGGAGGCTGAGGCAAGAGGATCGCTTGAGCCTAGGAGCTGGAGGCTGCGGTAAGCTGTGATCACACCACTGCTCTCCAGCCTGGGCAACACAGCGAGATCCTTTCTCAAAAAGAAAAGAGAAGAGAAGAGAGAAAATGAGGCGGTGAAGGGAGACAATGCTGACATCCAGGAAGAACGAAAAGCCGCACAAGAAAGGACACATGGTGACAGTGTGGTCCACGTCTCGGCTGTGCACAGTGCCGCACGGTCACTGCAAAGCCAGTGCTGGGAGCAGATTTGATGAAAATGCGGCAGAACTCTGCGGGAGCACAGGAACGGGAAGCGTGCGGCGGGAGGTGAGGGTGCTCGATCCGCGGCGCCTGCGGTGTGGGACGCGGGACAAATGTAAAACTGAGAAGTCAAGAAGTCACGGCGTGAGCGCAACAGGCTTCTTTCACCGAAACGTGCAGTGGGACGCCGGGGAGAGCCGGGCACGGTGGGCTCGGGGGACGCTGCTCTCAGGTTGTGCGCATACTCTTTAGTAAGAGCGACGCGGAGCTTGAGACGTAGAGATTCGAGTGGTTCATGGGAGTGACCTAACGGACACAGGAGACCTCGCACGGAACCCTGACCCACCGAGAGTCCGTGTTCTAACCGAACAGTGGGCCGCGCCACAGACTGGCCACGCGTTAGACCACAGACAAAGCACGTCCTCGACACACAGCAGGTGCCCAAACTTGTCATTCTGCAACCGCAAAGTGATACAATTGAAAACTAACGAACGCACCACAAACACGCCTGTGGACACGACATGCCGCAACACCCTTCCGATGAACTCCCGAGCGAAAAAGAAACCAAGACTGGAATGCCAATTTATTCAGAGACCGGCGAGGACGAGGTCCCGAACCCCAGCTGAAGTCAATCTACAGCTTCAAGCGCATCATTAGAGCAAAGCGCAAAACAGTGACCAAGCAAATCACTGGAGAAGCCAGAAAAAGAGTAAAAGAAATTCACCGAAAGCTTAAAGATAGAATTAGGAAAGATTAATGAATAAATTAAAATGAAAAAAAGTGAATAATGATCACAAATGAGTTCTCTGAAAAACCAATAAAACAGACTTAATCCTCTCCTTCCATCCTTCCCAACTCCACGCAGATCCATCCGTGTTTTTTTGGGTTTTTTTTTTTTTGCCAACTTTTTCATGTTTAGCATCCGTTTAGTTTCTTTTCTTTAGGACCTGCAAGTCCATAGACTTTATCCCCTTTCTATTCAGTTTCCAAAATAGTTTTCTCTTTGCTTTTAAGCATGTCTTCCTAGATTCTGGCTGGTAAATATTTGAATGTTATAAATGTAAGTGTTTTCTTCTAGACTATTTAACATTTTTGTGTCATTGCACCAAACTTACAAAAATTCTGCAGTCAGACTTGTCAGGCTTGTCCTTCGAGGATCTTATGTTTGGCGTAAGAAAGACATTTCTCACTCCCAGATTCTGAATGTGGCTCTTATACATTCTCCCAGTGCTTACAGGCTTTGGGTTGAACATTTGGTGTGTGTGAGCTTGTGCGTTTTGTGAGAGGTGGGGCTGCACCCTACCGCCTTCTGAATGGACACCATCCCCCAACACCATTACTGAAAGGTCCGTTGCCCCTGCGTCGAAATGCCACGCTCAGCATAAACTACATCCCAAGACTTGTGCAAGGGCCGACTTCTGGACTGCTCGTCCTAGGTCCCGGATGTGTTTGCTACCGTCTGTCCCAACACCACACAATATTAATTGCCAGAGCCTAAAGCAGAGCTTTTCAAAAGCATTGCATGGCTCCTTCTCCAAGTAAAATTTTAAAATCTTTATTTTTTCAAATTATAACTTTTATGAAAATATTAGCAATATATGGTTTACTTTCGCATGGCTTTGAACTCTGAATAAACAAAGCCACATGGCATGGATAATTCTGTCACTTGCCTATTTCACGCAAGGACAGGCCTCTCAGACCCGCACTTGCTGCTGCATGCAGCAGGCGTCCACAGGGTCAAATTCCACAACCCAAGGTGAGCTTGCTGAGTTTGAGCAAAACACGATGTGAACCGATGCAAGGCTTCTCAGTATCCAACTCTGCCTCCCGCCCGCACCCCCCCGGCTGGAATATTCCCGTGTTCCATTCTGTACGTGTTCATGCGCACGTGCTGGATGGGTTGTTTCCATCACTGACGATGTCTTTTAACGAGCACACTCGGTCCATTTCCATTTGTTGAATTAAATGACATACTGGTAATTCTATCTGCTGCCTTCGGCCCTGCTGTTTGTCGTGCCTGCCTTACGATTCCTTCTCTGTCCTCTCCTGCTTTCTTCTGGACCAATCGTGTGGTGTTTCTATCCCACTCTCCTCCCGCCACTGTTCAAGGGTGGTTCTTCCTGTTCTGTTGGTGTGATCACAACATGCACGCAAACCCACCAAAGTCTAAAGTTGACAAACATCTCCATCCTCTTCTCAAAAAACGGAAGAAGTTAGACCCCTTTAGCTCGACTCACGGGCACCGTTCTGACACCATGCCACTGCAAGTGGCACAGTGATGCTACCCGTTTCTCTGCAGGTGAGAGGCGTCCAGTGACTGCTCGTACCCATCCATGTCCATTCCAGTTCACCCATGCACTTCCTTCCTTTGCACCCTGCATTGCATACGCACTTCAGACCTTCTGAGATCACTTTTGTGTTGTTTGAGGTCTGTTCTTCAAAATTGAGGTGACAGTCTGCTGGGGGAAATTCTCTTTTGTTAGTTATCATTTTTTAAATGTATTTATTTAGCCCTCTTCATAAAAGATATTTTTGCCGGGTGTAACATTCAAGGTTGACCATTGTTCTTTCAGCACTCACGTGTGTATCATTCTCCTCTAACAGCTTCCACAGCGGTTACTGAGAAGGCACTTGCCAGTCTCACTCTTGTTCCTTTGACGGTTCTCTGTCCTTCCTTTCTCACTGCTTCTGAGATCTTTGTCTCTGGCATTCTGCAATTTCACTATGATGGGTCTCGGTGTATAATCCTCTTACCCATCCTGCTTAGGATCTGCTGGGCCCTCAAGACTACAGTCTAAATTACTGCCTATGATAGCCAGCCTCCAAGATGGCATCCAGCGACTCCCACCTCCTGGTGTTCCTGGCCTTGTGTTGTCGCTCCCGTATTAAATAAGGATGACCGGCGTAGCCAGAATATTGCAGAAATGATGGAGTGTGACTTCCAAAGCTAAGTCACGGAAGCCATTGCAGCTTCTGCCTCACTCTCTTCACTCACCCTGGGGGATGCCAACCCCGTGTTGTGAGGATACTCAAGCTTCCCCTGTGGAGGAGCTGAGACTTTCTGCCAGCATGTAGCACTGACTTGCCGGCCCCATGAGTGAGCCACCGTGGAA